TTGGAAAGTGCTTGTGCTACAACATACTTTAATTATCCGCACTTTGACAATACCTTTTAAAGCAATTTCCTAAAATAATTACAGGGATACTTTCAGCAGGGCCTCCAATAAATGCATTTGGCTGGGGCATTTCAGTACATTGATTTTTGGAACATTTAAACTTATGATAAAAAAATTTACTAAACATTAATTACATCCTAGATGATAATACTCCCAGTCTCTCTGGCAGATGCATCATGTTACCTCCGATCTCTGACTAGTTCAGTTGCATGACCTTCAGATTGTAAATATTCTGCTATTTTCTCATGCTCAACATGGGAAAAGTTTGGCTCCTGTCTTTGTTATTACTAAATCTGTAACAAAAGTAACTCACTCAAACAAGACAACTGCACATTCAGCTTCTATGCTAAAAATAGTGAAATCTGAACTGCGTCAAAGTCCTCTTCCCCCCACATTGAGAGATGTGCTAACAATGTACTGTTTATGAGAAGATGCAGCATTACACCTTGAACAGTCAGTATTGCTGATTAGGTCAAAAATTGTGCCAGAAATCCTAATGAAATAAAGCCTGCTTGCTTTCCTGGAAAACTCACTATAGGCTGGTTATTTCACTGCAGTGCCCAGCACAGAGGAAGTATGGTTCCCTAGTGGCACACAAAACCTCCAAGAACAGCCATTTCATACTTATTGTGGTCAGTTACTGTTTATCACTGGATGTCATAAAACCCAAATTGCCAGTCTGCTGCTAAAATGTAAAATTGGTTGTAGTGTGACAATAACCGTGTAGCTATTAATGCTTTTTATTGCTTGAGTATTAGGAGGACATGAGTTCCGTTCTGCCTTGCATCCACGCTGTAATTTGGAAGCAAACTCTCTAAGGCTCACACCAATTGTGTATTATATTGTAAATTCGTGATCCAGAAAAAGTGCAAAGGCACAAACTTCTCTATGAAACTTATAGTATTGTGAAGTGTTAGGGATGAGAAAGAGAGAGTAATATGACTGCACTCAGATTACTGTACAGAATTAGCCATGGTCATACATAATATGCTGGGAAAGAAACAGAGGATTAAAGACGACAAAGGGGTAGTAAAAAAGCTGCTTGTTTATTGTAGTGACCCTGCTGACAGAAAACAGACCAGGCTGTCCGAGAAGAAGATTAAGGTAGTGGATTGGAACTCAGGGGTTCCAGGTGCAATTCCTGGCTCTAACACATATTTCTCTCAGTGATCTTGAATAAGTCACTCAAACTCTCTGTGCCTCAGTTCCCTCTGTGTAAAAGGGGGTAAGATGATTTGTTCTCTCCTATCCTATGATTTATCTATTTAGACTGCACTGTTCAGGGCAGAGCTTGCCTTTTACCTTGTGGCTGTATAGCATGGAACACAATGGAGCCCTGGTCTCAGTGCTATTATAAATGTAAATAACAACAACTGATAATTGATTATAATGAATGCAAGAGGAATTGTTGAAACCACAAGACAAAGATGTAAGTCTGTAGTGCTTTCAAATTCCCAAACTGATACAACCTGTACTTCATATGCAGTCTCCGACTTACGCCCACCTCCACTTACGACCATCCGCACTTAGGACCAAAGCGGTCGTAAATGCGGTCCCCAAGTTACGAACGCAATCCGCACTTACGGACAGCGCAGGCACCATGTAACTCATTGGGATCCGAGTTGCGAACACTTCAAGTTACGGCCAGGTGTTTGGTCCGTAACTCGTTCGTAACTCGGGGACTGGCTGTAGTTTCAGATTGTTGTATGATGTATCTCTGTAAAGTTGATCTGAAGCATTTTTTGTTACTAGTACAAGTTGAACCTCTCTAGTCCAGCACTCTTTGATCCAGTGTGATTTTAGTTATCATGAGTGTGGTCAAGTTTCCCAGGGGTGGACAACCAGTTAGACACAAAGAGCCAAAAGAGCTGTGGATAGTAGTGCAAAGAGCCACACATCCCTCACCCAGAGCCAAGCCTCCCTCGCCCTAGCCCCCCCGCATACTGTCCCCCAGAGCCAGGCACCTCAGGCCCCTTCCGTTCTAACCCAATGCCTGGGTCTCACTGGAGCTGCCACCCCCACAGCCATGCACTTCTCCCTCCAGGAACTGGGGTGCGTGCACAAAGCGGGCATGTGGCTCCGAATGAGCCATAACCCTGAGAGACACATTTCTATGAGCAAAGAGCTTCATGTGGCGCAAGAGCCACAAGTTGACCATCCCTGAGATAGTCCATTGACTAGTCAACTAGTCGATGCCCCCTCCCCACTGCCTCTATTTGATAGAGGCAGCAAAGGGGTGCAGAAGAGGGGTACTTCAAAGCAGCAGCGCTGCATAGCTGAGCCCTGGATCAGCTATGTGGCGCTGCCCCTTTGAAACACCGACGTCCCCAGATGAACTGGCTCCACGTGCCATTTCAAATCAGAAGCACAGCCTGCAGTCCGGAGTCAGCGGGGGACTTTTGTGCATTTCAAAGCTGGCACGCTGCATGCAGCCCAGAGTCAGTGGGACGTCCCGCTGCCCCCGGGCTGCACACGGAGTTCTGCGTTCCTCCTCTGAAAAGTGCAAGAGCCGCAACGGGGGAGAGGGGAACTCTTGTACATTTCAAAGGAGGAATGCGGAAGTGCCTATCGAGTAAGCAATGGACTACTCAATTAACTGTTACTTAACATCCTTAATCCCTAGTTCTCAATGCAGCAGTATATGTAATGCCCATTAAAGTGTAAGGGAAACTTCTTGCAATGTGTCTCATCCCTTTGATTCCCCACAGACTAGAAGAGGGGGAGAAAAGTTGATGTTGGGATTCTTTTTAAAGCATGTTTTGCTGTTTAGTACAAATTGGGATTAACTATTGGGATAAAACTAGTTTGAGCTCAGAATATGGCCCTCTTTCCTTCCTGGGTAGATTTTTGCTTCCCCTACACCCAAATGGTAAAAGCAGCTTAGTGTTTAGGGTCCTAAACAGTAGTACAGGACTATGTAGCACTTTAAAGACTAACAAGATGGTTTATTAGATGATGAGTTTTCGTGGGCCAGACCCACTTCCTCAGATCAAATAGTGGAAGAAAATAGTCACAACCATATATACCAAAGGATACAATTAAAAAAAAGTTTCTTGCCATTTCAACCAGAAAGGACACTCTCTCAATGACTTAACCACCTGCATTCTGCTACAAAGACCTTTTACATCTGCACTTGAAAGGGAATCCACTGAACTGTCATTCATGTTAAAATTCGACACTCTCCGGGAGGGAATGAACAAAGACCCAAACTATCTTACCCATTACCAAGATAGCTTCCCCAATTATCACCTCTAATACCATTAACTCACAGACATTTACCTTCCTCCCCCTCCCCGTATCCACCTTCTGTTCTGAAATGTGATTTGTCCTTTTCATATGTGTTCACTTTTTTTTAATTGTATCCTTTGGTATATATGGTTGTGACTATTTTCTTCCACTATTTGATCTGAGGAAGTGGGTCTGGCCCACGAAAGCTCATCATCTAATAAACCATCTTGTTAGTCTTTAAAGTGCTACATTGTCCTGCATTTTGCTTCTAATACAGGAGTAGGTAGGGATGGTCCTATGACCTGCAGTGTGCCGTAATTTGCATCTCTTTTTCGGCTTCTCTTCCAAAAGAGGCTTTTTCGACAATTGGCCCATCTACACTGGGCCAAATGTCAGGGAAAAAAGTCCCTTTCAGAACATCCCTTCTTAAGAGCTTTACAGGAATGCTGAAAAAACACATCAGTTTCTCTGAAATTTTTTTTCGGAAAAGCAAATTCGTTCCCTGGATATGACAGAGCTTTTTCGTTATCCCGGAAGAACTCTGCAGTCCAGACGTACCCATAGACTAGATGATGATGGAGGTTCCTTCTGGCTTTGAAGTCTGAGAGACTGAGCAGCATTGTAGGCACATGAACCAGATACTGGACTAACTTGCTTCACAGCAAAGTTAGATCATTTTGAAAGAAGACTTCAGAGCTTGTGATAAATGCTATAGACGATGGATCGTGTGGTGTGTTCTGGATGGGAGCTGGATGCATGTAGGTAACTGTATGAGTCAGTGGGTTTTCTGTAGAGAGTGGTGTCTAATTTTCCATTGTTGATTTGTACGGTGGTGTCCAGGAAGTGGATCTCTCGTGTAGAATGGTCCAGGCTGAGGTTGATGGTGGGGTGTAGGTTGTTGAAATCTCTGTGGAATATCTCCAGTGTTTCTTGGCCATGTGTCCAGATCATAAAGATGTCATCGATGTACCGTAGGTAGAGGAGGGGTGAAAGGGGACGGGAGTTGAGGAAACGTTGTTCTAGGTCAGCCATAAAGATGTTAGCATACTGTGGGGCCATGCGTGTACCCATGGCTGTGCCGCTGATCTGGAGGTATAAGTTGTTCTCAAACCGGAAATAATTGTGGGTGAGAACAAAGTTACATAGGTCTGCTATCAGGTTGGCAGTAGTGTCCTCTGGGATAGTGTTTCTAATTGCTTGTAATCCGTCTTCATGTGGGATGTTGGTATATAGAGCTTCTACATCCATGGTGGCAAGGATGGTGTTATTGGGGAGGTTATCGATGTTTTGTAGTTTCCTTAGGAAGTCAGTAGTGTCTCAGAGATAGCTGGGGGTATTGGTTGCGTAGGGTTTGTACACGGCTACATTTCTATCACTATTCTAAACATTAGTGAATGTTTCACAATAGGAACTATGTGAAAAAATTGTTTTAGCCAAAAAAAGTACAGAACTGTTTACTATCAAATATTAATCTGTAATTAGAAATGTCCCCCTTAAGTGCAATTTCCTATGGACTGTTTAACATTTCTTTAGTCTGTCTCTGAAGGAGAGCGACATTCTATAAATATCTCAATTCTTGTGTCTCCCTGTGCTTCTCTACAGATGATGCAGGGGGACCAGAGTCCCTCTACTTCTCTCATTGACAGAACCATCAAGATGAGGAAAGAGACAGAAGCCAGGAAAGTGGTTTTGGCTTGGGGACTCCTTAATGTGTCAGTTGCAGGCATGATTTATACTGAAATGTAAGTTCCCTAACAGTTTTAAAACTTAAATTAATAAAAGGATGTCATTATGTTCCTAAATATTTCCATTGATTGTAGGTCAGAGATGACATCTTAATTTTTTTTCCCTTTCAGGACTGGAAAACTGATAAGTTCATATTATAACATTACATACTGGCCACTGTGGTATATTGGTAAGTGCACTTGGTAGTTTTGCTATATGAGGAAATAGTATCTAAATTCAATCCCTTTTCTGAGCCTTCATAGAATCAGAACACTAGAACTGGAAGGGACCTCGAGAGGTCATCGAGTCCAATCCCATGCCCTCATGGCAGGACCCAGTACTGTCTAGAGACCATCCCTTATAGATATCTATCTAACCTGCTCTTAAATATCTCCAGAGATGGAGATTCCGCAACCTCCCTAGGCAATTTATTCCAGTGTTTCTCCACCCTGACAGTTAGGAAGTTTTTGCTAAGGTCTACCCTAAACCTCCCTTGCTGCAGTTTAAGCCCGTTGCTTCTTGTCCTATCCTCATGTTGATATTTGAGATTTTTTTACCCGCTTTTTGCTCATACGGAAATCTGACTTCACTTTCCATGTCCAGTTTGGATTTATCTGGGTTGCATCTCCTGCTTATCTGTTACCTTAGATCAAGTTTCATGTGTGTTGAGGCTTTCAGAAAGTAAAAGACAGACTCCTTAAATCATAGAATCATAGAATAATAGGACTGGAAGGGACCTCGAGAGGTCATCGAGTCCAGCCTCCCGCCCTCAAGGCAGGACCAAGCTCCGTCTACACCATCCCTGACAGATGTCTATCTAACCTGTTCTTAAATATCTCCAGAGAGGGAGATTCCACCACCTCCCTTGGCAATTTATTCCAATATTTGACCACCCTGACAGTTAGGAATTTTTTCCTAATGTCCAATCTAAACCTCCCCTGCTGCACTTTAAACCCATTACTCCTTGTCCTGTCCTCAGAAACCAAGAGGAAGAAATTTTCTCCTTCCTCCTTGTGACACCCTTTTAGATATTTGAAAACCGCTATCATGTCCCCCCTCAATCTTCTTTTTTCCAAACTAAACAAGCCCAGTTCATGAAGCCTGGCTTCATAGGTCATGTTCTCTAAACCTTTAATCATTCTTGTCGCTCTTCTCTGTACCCTTTCCAATTTCTCCACATCTTAAATGATGCTATTAGGTGTATTTTGCATTTCACGTAGTAACTCTTTTTTTCAAGATGCTTACAATCTAAATGAGAGATGTGGAACTGATAAAGGATGAAAATGAAAAGTGAGAATAGACATCTGTCAGTCATAGAAAACTTTTGAAAAGGTGGGATTTGAGGAGAAGGAGTTGTAGGTTGTTCTGAACCTAGGGATATCATGAAAATGAAAGCATGTTGCAGCTTTAGAGGAAATTACATCAGGTTCATTAAACTCAGTTTTATGTTACCATGTCACCCATTTTAATACATAAATATAACACCACATTAATTAAATATAAAGTAAGCCAAATTGGGTATTGACTTTCATCCCTTTAGGCATTGCTTGTTTTTCACAAATGGTGGAGATACACCTGTAACCTTTAGCAGTGTCAACTGGTCTCGATTCCAGTATCTAAAGAATGTGAAGCTTATACAGTGGCCCTCTGTTTATGTATGTGATTTAAAACAATAATTGGTATAGTTTAAACTACTAGTCTCAAATGTATAAAACCTGTCACCAAATAAAATTAGTAGGCAGCAAGTTTTAAAACAAACAAAAGGAAGTATTTCTTCACACAACACACAGTCAACCTATGGAACCCCTTGCCAGAGGATGTTGTGAAGACCAGGACTTTAACAGGGTTCAGAAAGCTAGATAAATTCATGGAGGTTAGGTCTGTCACTGGCTATTAGCCAGGATGGGTAGGAATGGTTTCCCTAGCCTCTATTTGTCGGAGTGAAATGGATGACAGGAGAGGAGTCACGTAATAATTGCTTGTTCAGTTCACTACCTCTGGGACACCTGGCATTGGCCACTGTTGGAAGACAGGATACTGGGCTAGATAGTCCTTTGGTCTGACCCAGTGTGGCTGTTCTTATGTCTCCAAAGTTCTTTCATAAAATATGTTTCTGACCATCTTGGCTAATAGCTGTTGATTAAACTATCCTCCATCACCTATCTAGTTCTTTTTTGAACCCTGTTACACTTTTGGCTTTCAGAACATCCTATGGAGACACAAGCTGGCTGTGATTTGTATGACAATTCCTTATACATGTTGAACCTCTCTAGTATGGCAACATCCGTGGTCCGGCATGATTTTAGTTAGCTGGATGTTCACTTATGGGTGTGGCCAAGTTTCCTGTGATCCCATAAAGTTTGTTTACAGCCACCAGTCCTGGCTCTCAGAGTTCTGTGGTGTTGTTTAGCTCTAATTTACCCCTAAATGTCATTGGAGAACCCAGTAAGCAGTGGAAATGTTGGCAATGCTGCTTGACAATATTGACTTCCTGTGGTCCGGCAAATTCTCTGGATCAGCACCAGTCAGGTCCTGAGGGTGCTAGACTAGATTCAACCTATTATTTGTTTTAAACATGCTGCCTATTATATGAATGAGACTTCCCTGTTTACCTTCTCCATATATGCATGATTTCCCAGACCTCTAGCATATCTTTTTCCTGTGTAATCATCTCTTTTCTAATTGAACGGTCACAATCTTTTTTTTCTCTCTCCTCATATGGTAGCTGTTCCATAACCATCATCATTTTTATGTCATTCAATGCACTTTCTTCAATTTTAATGTACTTTTTTAAGATAAGGCAACCAGAACTGCATGTAATATTCAGGGGTGGGTGTATCATGTTTTTATATAGTGGCATTATGATGTTTTCTGATTTATTATCTGTCCCTTTGCTAATGGTTCCTACATTCTGTTACTTTTTTGTACTTTTGCCCATTGAGTGGATGTTTTCAGAGAATTATCCATAACTCTTAGGATCTTTCTTGAGTTGTAATAGCTAGTTTAGCTCTCATCAGTTTGTGTATATATAGTTGGGATTATGTTTTCCAACGGGCATTACTTTCTAACAGTCCAAGTATACTTTATGTATTGGATCACCCTTGTCCACATCAAAAAATTCTAATAGCTTGGTGAGGTTGATTCTTCCCCAGCATATAGTTCTCATCTATGTTGTCTGATCATTTTGTTCTTTACTATTGTTTCAACCAATTTGCCTGTCATGGAAATTAGGCTTACCAGTCTGTAATTGCCAGGATTACTTCTGGATCCTTTTTTAAATACCAGTGTTACATTAGCTTCCCTCCGGTTATTTGGTACAGAGGGTGAATATTATCTGGTCTTGGTGATTTAATTACTATTTAATTTGCCACTTTGAGGTGTCAGTAGAGGATGCTTTGGCACAGTCTGGGACAGTTGTTTAGTTTTGTCACCTAACTAGAATGGCATATCCTCTCCATTGACGACTGATGCAAATAATCCATTTAGCTTCTCTTTGCATAGGTCTTGTCTTTCTTGAGTGCTCCTTTAGAACCTTGATCAGCCTATGATCACTGATTGTTTTGTAGGGTTCCTGCTTCTGATGTACTTAACAAAAAAGTTTACTCTTTAGCCCTTGTGAATGGTGCATCTTTCCAAAATGATACAAAGAATCTACAGTAACTTTTGCCATGATAATAGTCATATCAATAGAGTAGGAAAACAGATGTCATAGAGGCAAGGTAGGGAAGTCATAGCAGGACCTGAAGAAGAGCTCTATTTAAACTCAAAAACTTCTCTTTCTCTCTCTCTCCAACAGAAGTTGGGCCAATAAAATATATTATTTAGCTCACTTTGTCTTTCTAATGCCTTGGAAAGAACATGGCTACAACAACACTGCATACAGTATAAGATATTAACTGTTGTTGATTTTTTTTTAATGGTGAGCAATTTAATTAACAACTGTGTATAATATAAAGAATTAACTTGTTAAAATAATGGTATTTTTTGTTCTAGAACTTGCACTTGCGTCTTTGTTCAGTCTGAATGCCTTATTTGATTTCTGGAGGTATTTCAAATACACTGTGGCACCAACTAGCTTAGTTATGAGTCCTGGACAGCAGACGCTTCTTGGGCTTCAGAACGCATGTAAGTGTGACCACTGTCTCTGGCAATATTCTTTAAAATGGTGTCTACAAGTGAGTTTTTGTAATTGTTTAACCCTCTGAATAGACTGTCATAGGTCTCAACCTGGCATGGTCCTCCAAACAAACACACATCTAGAAAGAGAAAAGAGGTGCAGTCTAGGGAAGTTAAATTTCGATTAATCAGCAAATCAAGTACAGTAAAACTCCTTTGGTCTGGCATCTGATGGTCCGGCACTCCTGATGGTCCGGCACCATCAGGAACCCGGAAGTGCTCCGGGCAGCCGGACCATTGGAGCTGCTCTACCCCCGGCTTCCTCGATTCAGCTGCTGCTAAAACTGACCAGCTGGGGTGCTGCCAGGTAGGTCCCGTAGCACTACCCCTCTGGGCTGTGGGACCAACCTGGCAGCACGCCAGCTGTCCCTGATTCAGCTGCTGCTGAAACTGATCAGCGGCTGACTCCAGGAAGCCCAAGGCAGAGCTGCTCTGCCCCGGGCTTCCTGGAATCAGCTGCTGATCA